CGGGGCAGAGGGGGAGAGAGAATCCCAAGCAGGCTCCGAGCTCAGCGCGGTGCTGTTGCGGGGCTCGATCCCACAAAGCTGGGATCACGACCTGAGCCAAAATCAAGAATCGGATGCTCAACCGACTGAGCCACTCAGGTGGCTAGGGACACTACATCCTTCTAACAGGATGAACGGGGGGAGGGGGGGTGTTTGTTAGAAAGTGAAGTTTTCTTTATCTGTTTACCTGTGTATATCACATGCATCTTTCTAAAGACAGCAGTAATGTAATTTTTCTGGGTGGCGCGCTTGAGGATTTTCCTGGGCAGAGTGGGACACCTCAAGTAGGGTGTATGTAGGCAAGAACAGTTTGTGAAAAGAGCTCAATTGTTCATGAGGTTGCACAGCTGGCTATTAACTCAGTCTGGAGAACACATCAGCTGTAATTATCAGCTTTTTATTTGCTTCCATTTGCACGGCTCTTTTCATCATTGTGGTACTTGGTTCTTCCAACAAATGGAGGGGAGGAGACCGTATTATAATTTTTAGGTCAGGAAACCGCTCTGGGAGATACCAAAACGTGGACAGTGTCATGTTCCAGGCTCTTAGAAGTGAAAGGACACATATACACACATACACTCAGACAAGGGCGGGAGTCCTGGAGGGATGGAAAGCAGACAGAATCCGATTGAACAAGGAGGTGCAATCTGAAGTGCTCGCGGTGCCGAGCAGAGGTAGAGGATCCCTGAAGAGGGGGATCCGGAGGCAACTGACATACCCCACCCCGATCCACCTGTTGGAAGGCGGTCCTCCAGGAATAGGCACAGGAGACTTGGGACCTGGCTGGGTCTACACCGTACACAGTGAGTAGAGATTTGGCATCATCTTGTCCATGTGACAAGATATGTGTGTGTGTGTGTGTGTGTGTGTGTGTGTGTGTGTGTGTGTGTTAAAAATTAGCTTTATTCGGGTATAATTTACATTCAATAAGATTGACCGGCTTTATTTTTATTTTAAAAAATCATTTTAAGAAATTAAAATTGTTTTAAATCTAGCGAGCGAGCGTGCACGTGCAAGTGGTGGAGGGGCAGAGGGAGAGGGCGAGAGAATCCTAAGCAGGTTGTGTGCACGGTCACCGTGTGGCCCGACGTGGGGCTCACACTCACCAACTGTGGGATCATGACATGAGCCGAAATCAAGAGTCGGACGCTCGAGCGCCTGAGCCACCCAGGCGTCCCCAAGATTGACCAGTATTAAGTGCACAACTTGGTACGTTGGGATCAACATAATGGCATCCACCTCTGTAATCGTGATCTAGAGTGACTCAAAAGCTTGCACATACGCACAGCTGTGGTACAACCCAGTAGTTTTGAACACGCCAAGGGGTGCGCCCCAGAGAAAGTGCAAACACGTGTTCAGGCAAAAACCTCCACACACACGTTCACGGCAACACGTGTTCCCTGTCGTAGGCATGCCTCCTGCCACCTCTCACGTGTAACAACCACGGATCTGCTCTGCGTCACCACCATCGTTGCCTTGAGTTCGTGGACGTGGAATCACACGGCGGGGACGGCTTTTGTGCACAGTTTCTCTCGTTCTGTATAGAATTTTTGAGACCCACGTAATTTCAGGTATCATTACTTTGATGAGGGCCCCGGTAAACGAGCATGCCACCCCGTGTGCTTATCCATTCAGCTCACGGACACGGAGACTGTTTGTACGTGGTGGTTATTACGACCAAAACCGCGGTGCACAGCTGAGCACTTTGAGTGTTCCCTTCTCTTCCAGAAGCACCTGAGAGGGATGGCTGGGACCTGTGGGTGTGTAGATTTTAACTCTATGAAAAGCCGCCCGATGTTTCCCAGTGGGGCTCCACACGCCCCCGGCAAGGACCGAGGGTCCTAGGTGCTTCACCTCGTGGCCGGCTTCTGGCCAGTGCAGCTGAAACCGGCTCGTGTAACACGCGGTCTCGCTCTGGCTGTAGTGAGCACGGCCTTGCACGTGAAGCCTCCTTCCTGTGTTTGCCATCTGTGCCTCTTCCGGAGTGGAATGTCCAGCTGGACTTTTTGCCCCAGGTCCTTCATCTGGTAAATAGTTTTCGAGTATTTTCTGCTAGTCTCCGAGGGAAAGAAGAGTGCCTCGTTCCTGAATCGAGAGGGAGAGGTGGGGTCTTTGGCCGTTAAGTGTAGTGTTTGCTATGGGGCTGTTGTAGTGGCTCCTGATCGAGTCCACACTCTGTTCCCGGTTCGCAGAGAGCTTTCATTGTGCGTGGACGCTGCATCCTGTCACGTGTGCTTTCTGAGTCTGTTGAGATGAACAGGTGGTTTCTCTTTCTGAGTTTGTCAATAGGGTGAATCCATCAGCCGGTCTCGAATGTTATATACCAGGCTTGCATTCCTGGGATGAATTCCACTTGGTCGTAGGTATTGTCCTTGTTATTTATCACCGGAAGCGAATTTCTAAAATGTTATTAAAGATTCAAGGTTCATGAAACGAAATGGTTCTGTTTGTTCCCTTTGTAATGTCTTGTTTGGCTTTGGTAGCCAGGTAATACTGGGCTCATAATGAGACGGCAAAGTGTTCACTCTTCTTGTTTTTATGAAAAAAAAATTAGCATAGAATTTATATTTATTCCCTGTATGTTTGGGAGAGCTCATCGGCGAATTCTCTGTCAAGTTTTCTTCATGTGAAGGATTTAAGGGATGGGTTCAATCTCTTGGTTCGATAGAAGGCTCCCCAGGTTCTCTGTTTCTTCTGGAATGAGCTTTGGTTGCTTGTGCCTTTCAAATACTGTTGTCATTCCAGCCGAGTTGTCAAATTTATTGGCATCCAATTTGAAATATCCCCGTATTATCTCTCCCAATAGCTTATAGGATCCATAGTGACTTTTGTTTGTTGTGGTTTTTAATTGAGGTGAACTTACAGCGACGGACACAGAGACGTGTGAGTGTGCGAGTTTTGACATATGCACACCCCAGAGTAACTAACGTAAAGTCTGCACAGGACATCCCTTTCACTCCAGAAGGTTCTCCCGATGCCTTCGAATTCAGTCCCACCCTACACTTAGACCGATGACATTAGACATCAGGAACGACTGCCATGAAATTCAGTCACCGTGCATCGGTTTTGTCTGTTCTGGACTTCATATGAGTGGAAACATACAGTTGGTAGCCCTTCTGTCTGGCTGCTTCCACTCAGCACATTCCTTCGGAGAGTTATCCACACTGCTGGGTGCGTGGCGGGTCAGTCCCCTTTCACTGATGTAGAGTAAGTATTCCACTGTGAGGACATGCCACGTCCATTTTCTGATTGATGGGGGTTTCCAGTTTAGGGCTGTTACAAGTAAAGATGCTGCGGGGTGCCCGGATGGCTCAGTCGGTTAAGCGTCTGACTTCAGCTCAGGTCGTGATCTTGTAGTCTGTGAGTTCGAGCCCCGTGTTGGATTCTGTGCTGACAGCTCAGAGTCTGGAGCCTGCTTCCGATTCTGTGTCTCCCTCTCTCTCTGCCCCTCCCCCGCTCATGCTCTGTCTCTCTCTCACTCTCAGAAATGAATAAATGTTAAAAAACAAATAAAGATGCTGTGAATATAGTCTTAAGAGTCTCTTTGTACACCTAGGTTTTCATTCCTCTTGGGTAGGCGAGGTATGGAATTGTGGGCTTGCAGGGTAGGTATGTGCCCATAAGGAACCGGCAGGCAGTTCTCCCAAAGTGGTTATGCTATTTTTGTCCAGCAGTGAGTGACGACTGTTATACACGGTAAGTTCATTTGCTTCATACCCTAATCCATATTCGTGATTGTGCTCTTTAATATTAACCATTCTAATGAATATCAGGTGGTATTTCATCGGGGTTTAATACGTCTTCTCTAATGACTCATGTTTTTTAAGCATCTTTTCAAAT